AGATCTCTTAAATATGGACCTGCCAACTGCAAGATAAGAGATTGGGTGGGTGAAGGTGTTTGTTTTATCAATTATTGTGGGAGTCTTTGAGATAAAATACTTTTTTCTTTCCCTCTCTTCTTCCAGTATTTACCTGAATTAATAACCGGAATCAATGCTGGATCTGGGGTCTGAGGTTATCGGATTGGAAAGAACTTGAAGAGTTCTGTAATCAAAATGCTGCCGACTTGTTGGAATTATGCCGTTCATGTGTAAGCAAAATAAGTTTCAGGTTGCTTGAAGAAACAAGGCGAGGGAGCTCAGAGCGCTTGCTAGTTAAGGGATATAATGAGATAGGAATCCATGTTTCTTCAAATTTAACGAAATATTTGTTCACGTATTGTGTGAGTGGTGATCTCTGATATGTTCGAAAACCATCTGCATTAGAAGTTCAAAATGCAACAGAGAAGAAAGAACGACTTTGCATACCCGTTCTTTACACGAAAAATCATCCGTTTCGGATGCTAATAAGTGAGATTAAATGTAATAGATTCAACAATGTATATCAGATAAATCCAAAAGAGTTATAAAATTAATTTTATGAAAATACCGGATAAAAGGGGATCATTTTAAGAAGTCAATAAACATTGAGAACAGAGTGGAAATTAGAGTGAAATCACGAGGGAGAACTTGCAAGTACTTTGAATTTATCAAGATCCAACGACAATGACGACATCTCACATGGGCCAGCTGCACTCAAAGGGCAGGCCCAGTTGGGCTTTCTCTATATTAAGGTCTACCCTGACTAGAGGTGTGCAAGGTTCGGTTCGGTTCGGTTTTTACCAAAATTTGAACAACCAAGCGGAACCGCCTATAATTCAAAACCGAACCGAACTGTTGTAAGTCGGTTCGGTGCGGTTCGGTTCGGTTTGTCCTATAATTCAAAACCGAACCGAACTGTTGTAAGTCGGTTCGGTGCGGTTCGGTTCGGTTTGTTCGGTTCTAACTTCATCAAACTTCTTATCAAACAACAAACTGTGTTAAAGAAAAAAAAGACATCAACAAAGTAGGAGATTATGAAGTATTAAACATTGATATAATGATATTGTTTTCAACCCATAATGATTCAGAAAATGAGTTTAGGGTTTGAGTCTTTGACTTTTTGAGGACGGGTCAGGTAGGGTTTGAGATCAGAATGGGTAGTATTGCACTATATTCGGTCGGTTCGGGTCGGTTCGGATTGAAAAGTTTTCAAACCGATCCGAACCATCCTACTCATAAAACCGGGTCGGTTCGGTCGGTTTTTTCGGTTTGGACCGAACCATGCTCAGGCCTAACCATGACCATGTTTCCTAGTAAAGAGACGACAAGGATTTTCTTCCTAAATTTACTATGGCGTGAAATTTTGACAAGATAATTATAAGTGAAAAAATATATATTGAGAAATAGTTTGCCAAAGTAAGGGAGCAACCATGTAATATCGCAAGAGGTACTATGTATCTTCATGAACATTTCATAATGTTACCATGACTTGAGTATCCCTTCAAAGTCATGATTGACAAACTTGTGAAATGTTAAGGACATAGTGAAGCATAAGCGGTGGCGAAAGGAAAAGATCTAAGGAAAGGATAGACTTTTGGGAAAACTATTTTATCAAAGTACGAAATTGTGTGCCACGACATGTGATAATGTAGCGCATTCACTTGCTCATTTTAGTACATGTAATGGGATGTTCTACTTATGGTTATCGTCTCGTCCAAATTGCATTGTTAAGGACATCAAAGCCGATATAAGTTTCCTTTGAGATTAATACATTTCTTCTTTTCCATCAAAATATGTGATAATGTAGATTTGGCTAAGTACGTGGTAATGTTCGTCGTTCGACTTTTCAAAATGTTGGCTACACGCTACAAAGGTCAAACATTGATGCCAAGACGGATTAAGATGCATCTTAATTAATACAACTTTTGAAACAAAACAGCAGCACATAATCAGCCTTCAACCGATGCTTGCAGTGTCAACCTATTCATTAATTATTCCCTAATAAGAAGATCACAAAGAGGATTAGAACAAATCGATCTCGTGATATAACCTGAGAACCCAATGCTCCTTGGATTTAGTTGTTATGAAATGTCTCCCATTTGTCTACTGTTATAATAATGTCACCTATTACCATAATCAAGCGTGATTATTCTCAAACATATTCACATTCAGTGGCGTAGCTAGAAACTGAAGCTTGGAGGAGGTCACTATTGTTTCTTCCCTTAGAAACTACTAAGACTATCAACTATTAACATTCGACGATATTACGAATTTTTTAAGAGAAATGATGGGGTCTCAAATTAGAAAACCTCAACAAAATATTATATATGAAATGACAGTTTATAGAGTAGAAAAGAATACTCTCAACTACAAGAATATAGTGAAAATTAATACATCTAGCTCCCAGAAGAAATTATGGCATCAAGTGTTGGGTATTACCTCAAACTCCAAGTTAGTATAGTGTTTTTAATTCTTTGTATAACTCCATGAGAATTAGATAGGGTTAGAGATTTATCATGATTAGGAGTTTGGGTTTTATCATGATTAGGAGTTTGAATCTTATTCTAATTAGGAAGTTAGGCTAGAAATATGGTTTTGGTTTCCCTATATATATATTCTTCTATTGTTAGAGGAAAAAAAAAACTAAGAAGAGTAGAGAGAAGGAGAGAGACAATATTCTTGTAATCAAGATTTTAGAGGGTGTAACCGGGTTCAAGGGTATTGTGAAAGAGAGGGTTTGACAGTCGTTGTCCGTGCAAAAGATTGTAATTTGGAGGTAATGGTGGATTGATTTTAATCTCATGGTTTTTCTCTGTTGAGGGTTTTCCATGTTAAATCTTATGTGATTTTATTTGCTGCGTTTAGTGGTTTTTTTGGGGTTTTTGTGAGATCTAAAAATCTCTACAAGTGGTATCAGAGCGGGGTTCGACGGTTCGTAGAGGTTTGATCGGTGCGCAATTTGTGAATGCGTCAGTGGTCGAAACATGGTGATCGACATTGAGGGGAAAAAAGGTTACTGTAGCGACGGCTCTGTAGCGGGAATATTGTAGTGGGCTTTGTTCACGCAGATTCGACGGTTGAGGTTGATTTGTCTTTTGATCGAGAATTTGGAGGCAGATTTTGGTGATCCAGGAATTGTTCCTAGGGTTTTTCGACGTGCTGAGTTCATTTTTGACGTTGGTTTTATCAAATTCAATCTCTACAGTGACTGATTTGAATTTTGATTGCGGTTAGAGGATGATGACTTCTTCGGGTCCGAAGTTTGAAATTCCGCTATTCAATGGCAAGACAAATTTTATAGTATGGCAGTGCATGGTTCAAGATATTTTTGTGCAGTAAGGTGTTGATCAAGTTTTAGAGGATAAGAAAGCCGAAGGATTGAAGGATGCTGAATGGAGTTCTATGCAAAAGAGGGCGGTTAACACAATTCGTTTGGCACTCACCCCCCGGATCAAGTATAATGTTATGCAAAAGACCACACCAAGAGGGCTGTGGGAAAGACTCGAGGGGATTTATGCGTCGAAGTTGATGACCAACCGATTGTGTTTGAGGATGAAGCTTTATTCATTAAAGATGGAAGAATGTATTGTAATTCAAGACCACATCAATGCCTTTAATCAGCTAGTTTCCAACTTATGAATATTGATGAGGAGATTAAAGAAGAAGAGTAGGCGCTACTTCTATTGTCTTCCTTGCCTAAGTCGTACAAGCCGTTAGTTCAGATGATAATTGCAGGGAAGCAGACTTTAAAGTTCGACAATGTGACAATACTCCTACGTGAGAATGAAAGAATGATAAGAAAGGAGAGCGCATCTAATGGTGGTAAGAGTGCACTAGCTTTTGAAGGTTCCAATCAAGGGAGGAGTACGGGGAGATGTGACAGTTATCGAGAAAGGTTAAAATCCCGAGCCCGAGACGACAGCGAAAAGGAATGCTGTTATTGCGAAGAGAAGGGTCACATTCAGTTCAGATGTTCCCAGATGCGTGATGATTTGAAGAGTATTAGACAGATAAAGCTTCAAAAAATGAGAAGAAGACGGACTCCTCGGTGGTTGTGTGTGATGAAGATATGGTTTTATTGATACAGAATACGGGTACTGATACGAGCCGTCGTGTGAGCACCCTTTGGTCATAGAATTACCAAAAGATGGGTTGAGAAGATGATGACAGAAACACAAATAACTTAGGTTTTGACGAAGGAAAATACCTTCTCTAGATTATGAAGAACAAAAGATTACAATCTCTCCCTCACAATCTCACTAGAATCGAGAACAACCTCTCAATCCTCTCTAAACCCTAATACAATAATTAGAATTTCTCTCTGATCTAAGATCTCATAGATCCTCCACTACAACAAAACTGGTTTTTTATAGCGTTGAATGATAGCGTTTATGTTGTAAGTGCTATAGATTGGATGTGCCTTATTTTTTGATAGCGTTTGAAAAATTTTAAACGCTGTAAGTAATTGACCACATTTTTTTTTGTTCTGGCGCGTTAAAATCTTAAGCGGGACATTGAAAATTAAAACTGCGCGTTGAAAAGGGAGAGTTTGGTGTTTTTTCCGTTTACTTTTATTTTTCTAAAAATTCTCATTCCTTTTCTTTCACCCCTTTCACCCAAGCCCTAACAGCCCTCCGACTCGTCGCTGCCGTCTCCGAGTCGTCGCCCGTGCCGCCTCCGACTTGCTGTCGCAGCATCTCGCCGCCGCTGTCGCCTCCAAACCCGCCCCCCCTCTTCTTTGATCATCGGAGACGGAGCCCCTCCTCGTCTCTTGTCCACCGTCGGAGCCCCTCCTCGTCTCTCGTCCACCTCCGAAACCCCTCTTATTTGAAGATTCGAGGGATTAATTTGAGAATCTGGAAGGTTTA